GGGAGTATCACAGCACTTGCTTATCCTTTCTATAGGTCAATATGATGAAAGCCAGGTATTTATCTACATAGGCTATGATTTTGCATCCCAGTAGAATAGCCTGAAATTAGGAGAGGCCAAGTTTGTAAACACTGCTGGTCCATCTACCATCCTCCACTACAGAGGGATAGTATCATCCCAGAATGTCAGTGAATATGTCAGAGAGAGAAGGGAGAAAGCTTTATTTCTTCAACATTCTTTAGGAGTCTTTATCTTTAGGGACATACCTTTTCAGCTTCCAACTTTGTCCATTATGCAAATATCCTTGTAAATACCTTACTGTATAGGAACATGATTAATCCAGAGAGAATTGTTTCTTAGCAGCAATTCTAAATTCCAGCAGCCTCATCTAGTCACACATGAATTCAGACTTACAAACAAGACAATATAATTTTTATCAACTTCTCTTTCCATTTTATGGCTCTTTCTTTGGGTTGGTTCATTGTCAAGTAGGTACTTAAGTTCCTTCATTTTAGCAATTTTAGCTGAAAGAGTACATTCCTTCCCGAAGAATGTGGGGTGAGGTATGCTGGGATGTAACTCACTGGTAGAGTGCTTGAGTAGTATGCATAAGGCCATGGGTTCCTAACCCAGCAGAGAGTGGAGATGTGCAGGTTGGGTCACACACTCATTCTAAACTACTGATTGTGGTCATCTGCCTACTGTAGGAACTTCAGAAGGTCAGTGATTAGTGTCACATGAGCCATGTGGAATGAGGATAAGAGAAAAGCAGTCCCCCAGAAGAAAATTGAAATGCTGCTGCCAAAAAAGGACTGGGAGGGGATACAAGTTTTAGAATCAAGCAAACAGACCTGTAATGTACATGCAACTCAAGCTAATTAAAAAATTAGATTATTATGTAGGCATATCTTCATCTATTTTTAAACTTAATAATTATACTATCTTAGTTACTTTGTATTGCTTCGCTAAAACACGGACCAAAACCTACTTGGGGAGGAAAGAGTCCATTTTTTAAAAAATTTTTGTGCATTTCATACAAAATATCTTAATCATCTTTATATCTCATTCCCCATCCAGACCCCCCCCCATAACCCATCCTACCAGATTTCATGCATTCTGTTATATATGTTAAGGCTATTACATCAAGTTAGTGTGCCCAGACATCCCTAAATGCAAGTTCATCCACTGGGGTCTAGTTAGCCTATCTAGAGTCCCTCCCTGAAAAAATATCAACTTTCCCTCACCCAGCAAAAATCAGCTGCTAATAGTTCTTCAGCTAAGACTGTGGTCTGCTGCACATTTCACAGTTGTATGCTGGGCTTTTGTCTGCTTGAGTTTACATGGACCTTGTGCATGGTGTCACCATTGATATAGGTTCACATGAGCAGGTCCTGGGAGCCTGTAAGACTCTGCTTCCATATGGTCATGCAGAAGCATCCTCTGGCTCTTACAATTTTTCTGTCCTCCTCTTTTCCAATGGTCCCTGAGCCCCTGGTGGGTGAAGTTTAATATAAGAATCATGTTCAGGGACCCGCACTCTGCAGACTCTTATTCTCTGTGCTTTGACCATTTGTGGCCTTTTGTGTTCATTGCCCTCTGTTGCGTGAGGGAGGTTAATGAGAGTTGAAAGATGTATTACTATTCTCTCTACTCCTTGTTCCACTATGCTCCATCAGCCTTAGGCGTAGAGGTTCTGTTATATCACTTAAAGGTTAGGCATCTCACAGACACTTATTCTTTGTGACCAGTTGTGGAACTCTGTAATAGTCTCTGTTGCAAAAGAAGCTTCTTTGATGAGAGGTGACTGGCATACTTGTCTGTAAATATAAGGATCCATATTTAGCATATAGTAAGAAATGATATTTGTCTATGATTATGACAGCCTTACGATTTTAAGATCTATGACCTCTCCAGCCATGTGTTTTTGGCTGTGTTTACAATACTACACATGAGTTCCCTCCCACTGACTAGGCTTTAAGTCCAATTAGGTAGCTGTTGATCATTCCCAAGATAAAACTGCCACTACTGCCCCAATGTTGTTTGCTGTCCCACTCATTACTGTGATTATTAGTCCTTAAAGCTGGAGTTGGACCATTAACTGATGTTCTTCCTTAGCAACTTACATAGTGTCCTCCAAAACTGTGAGAGCTAGCCTTCAGGAAAGTGACTTCCGGTTCAATTGTAGCTCCATTGCTCCAAGTCCTGTGTCTGAAGTATGTCCTGTCTTTAGAAATAGGGTCTTATCTTCAAGTTCTGGGAGGTAGTCAAAAGCTGTGGCAGTAGCCCATGTGAATCTCTTGAACTATGCTGATCAGCAACTTGAAGGGAAGTTTCTCCTGTCTGGCACTGTTTCTTGTTTTATAGCATTCAGCTATACACATAGACTCATGTAAAGATATTGTATGTGTAATTTTTAGTAGGATTTTTAACTAATATGTTGCCCTCTGGCTTTTCACACCAGCTAAGCATTATTTATCTTCCCTCCCTCCCTCCCTGTCTAACCCTCCTCTCTCCTCAGTTAAAATACCCTAATTTCCCCCTTCATAATACCCATCTCCTATGATCTCCTGTCTCTTGAGCTCCTTCTTCCCCTTTATCCCCATGGTTCCTTGTATAACCCTTCCTCTTCCCCTCCCAATTAAATACCTCAATTTTCCCTATTTTCCCCTCAGTAACATCTGTCTCCTACTATCCCCTTCTCTCAGGATCCTTTTTTCAAAAGGGTCTATTTGGCTTACACATCCTAATCACAGGTCATTCTTGAGGGAAACTGGGGCAGGAACTCAGGGAATGAACCTGGAGGCAACAACTGAAAAATAGACCATGGAGAAATGGTACTTACTGGCTTGCTCTTCTGTGTCTTGTGCTTACCCTGCTTTCTTATACAACCCAGGACGACTTGCCCAGGCGTGGCACCACCCACAGTGGGCTGGGCTCTCCCACATCACTCAACAACCAAGAAAATGCCCACAGTCATGCCCACAGGCCAATATGATGGAGGAAATTCCCCATCAGGAGGAGGTTTCCTCCTCCCAGGTGTGTAAAGTTGACAACTGAAACTATCCAGTACATATACCTTGAACAAGAAGATTTCTCTGAAAATATGACTTTAAGTGAATGTAAAATTATATTTAAATCCATTGCTTAGTTTTAGATGTTTGAATGGTCCAGAATTAAATTTTGAAATAAAGGGATATTTACTGGAGAAGTAAGGGGAGAAGTGTGGGTACATACACAAGCACACACACACACACACACACACACACACACACACTCACAACTTTGGAAGATTGGATGATTATAAGTTAGGAAATCAGGATTGGAAGCAGGAGGGCATGAGGCACAAGATGAGGAAGTACAGGTCTATAAACTATACACATTTAGCCCTCTGTATTAATGAATTCTGTGTCTGAGAATTCAACTGTGACTCAGAAATGTTCTCTAAAAACATTTTGTTTGGGCTGCACGTACTCATGCATGTTCTTTTCCTGTCCTTATCCCTACACAATACTGTATAACAACTGATGCATAACATTTGCATTACAACAGGCACTGTGAGTAACTTAAAGCTGATTTAAAGAGGATGTGGGCAGGTTTTATGCAAATACTGTGTCATTTAAAATTTGTTATTTCCAATTTTAAATTTATTTTGTGTGTATGCACACCTGCCCTGGTATGCGTGTGGAGGTCAGAGAGGACAACTCGGGAGTTGGTTCTCACCTTATTCAAGGCACAAAGTCTCTCTTGTTTCTGCCATGGATGCAGGCTAGTGTAGGCTAGCTGGCCAGTGAGCTTCCTGGAGATTCTGCTGTCTCTACCTCTCAACTCACTGTTGGAGTGCTAGGATTGCATATGCCCACTACCACACTGACTTTTTACATTCTGTCGATGTGAACTCAAGCTGGAAGACTTGTGCAGAAAGTGCTTTTACCTACTGAGCCATGTCCTTGGCCATGTGCCATTTTACATAAGGGACTAGAGCATCTACAAGAGTCTTGGAACTAATCCCTTGTGGATGCTGAGGGGCAACTGTGTATTGACATCGGTGATGAGATCAGCCAGTCCCAAGAAATCTCTTTAAAGATCTCTGTTTTCCAGGACTGACGGGAAACTAACCAATTCAAGGAACATAGTTGGCCATGCTAAAGTGTGTGAGAGAAATATTTCCTTGCTGGGAAAAATTTTCCCTACCTCTTTGTCATTCTTTGAAAAAAATTTTCTTGGGGCTGGAGAGATGGCTCAGCAGTTAAGATCACTAGCTGCCTTTTCAGAGGACACAGGTTTGCTTCCCACTACCCACAGGGGCTCACAACTGTCTGAACTCCAGTTCCACAGGATCCAGTGCCTTTTTTTCCAAACTTCACAGGTATTGCATGTACAAGGTACACCTACATACATACAGACATAAAAATTCAATAAAAAAGTTTAAAAAATTTCTTGCATGCCTAATTACTTGCTACTTCTGCTGCGTCTCCTGCTTTTAGCTTAAAGTTAATGTTGTATTGTGAAAATGGAGAAAATCAAGAACTACCTTTTCAAAACTTGGGAATAGAGTGGAAAAGAAAGAAAGCAGTACTCATTGGGGCAGCTGCAGAAAGAGGAGGGAGAAAGCAGTGGCCAGGCAAGTTAGGTTGTGTAGTTTTCTCTTTTGGGTGAGTGTGATGAACTGTCTTGGTTAATTTTCAGTAGTAGTTTTCAAATACTTCATATAGTCATTTTTATAAGAAGTATTTTATTTATTTTATTTTATGTGTGTGAGTGTATTGCCTGCATGTAGGTAGGTGCACCTGTGTCATGCAGTGCCTGTGGAGGTCAGAAGAGGGCAAATTCCCTGGAACTGAAGTTATAGACGGTTGTTAGGAGCCATGTAGGTGCTGGGAATGTAATCTGGGTCCTCTTCAAAAGCAGCCAGTGCTCTTAACCACTGAGCCTTCATATAGTCATTTTTATCTCTTCTCTCTATAGTGAATAGTTCTGACTTCTTAAATTTCTTCTTACAGCTCAGTTCTTTTGGCTAGACCTATGATCACTTCTGTGAGACTTCACTGCATACTTTCTCAAGAGTCTTCCTCATCCCTAATGTGCAGTACCTCACCATGGACCTGCTACTTTCGCTAAGACATGGCCAGCAGTGAATAGTAGTAAGGTAGGCCAGTGTATTCTTCTTAGTCAACTAATGAAACCTTTTTTGTGGTTTGGCCTCTGAAACTACATGTTTGTCTTAATGTTGTATTGTTGTTTATGTAGATTATTCTACCTCAGCATACTCCTATCATTTTATGTTTGTGTCACTTAATTTTTGCTTGTAATTTATTTTAATGAATTTTGTATATGTCATTTTTAATTGGTCCAATTGGTGCTTATGATTGGGATAGTCCTGATCTATATTCTTTAGCATGCATGCCCACCCACAAATCCTGTATTTTCAGATGCCTGGCATCAAACTTGACATATTTTTTTTTCTTGAATACTCATTCTTCCTTCTAGTTTCTGCATTCTGTGTTTCTAGAAAGACTCTGAAACAATTTGAAATTAAACTCAAAGGCATATAAGAATAAATTTTCGAGGACAAATCATTAACAAAGCCTTAATTAGTATAAATTAAAAATCATCAGATGTTGTATTTCCAGCATTTCTATTATTTCTAGCATTTTTTAAAGTTCCATTTTATGTAATAGCTAATCTTAGGGGAAAAAGTTTTCTGATAGCTTTCTGTATGTGATACCAGAATCTAACAGATGCTTAAGAATTTAAATCTATTCAAAACATTCGTGAGTATCTTATTGTTCCTTCTATTCCCAAGGAACCAGAAGTCCCATGAATCTTGACCAAAAGCAAAAAAATGAAAGAAAAAGGAAAAGCATCTCCAATCCACTCATTGCAACTTGTTGCTGGACCTTCTCATGCTCCCCATTCTTACCTCAGAAAATTCAGCATGAACTAGTCCACTCCTTACCTAATAGCAACATTGTTATCACTAAAGAATAAAACCTCAACTTCTTGTTGAAATTTTCAAAGTCCTGTGTGCCTTTTAATTATGAGTCAAATTTCATATGACTTCAGAGACTTTGTGGAAGTGAAAATAACTGGTCTTTACTTCTACACTGTTAAGCATCTTTTCCCTTGTGCCCTTGCTAGTATTCTTCTAACTAGTAGGAAATCTTCCTAGGCCATTACCCAATGTTCTAGTGGGTAACTTTTTAGTATTGTGAAGAGTTTCCAGCATCATATTATATATATATATACAATATGTGCATATATATATGCGCAGTATTAAGCTTATTTAATGTATCTGGCTTGTATAGACTCAGGAAATTAATTTATTATAGTTTTGGCAGCATAGCCATCAGAATTTTTTTCTGTTCAGCTTTTAGGACTGATACTTTAGGTGCAAACTAAAATTCAGTAGATTTTAAAATAAGTCTAACTTTGTTACTCATTATAAATTCATAGCCTTATCTTTCTTTTGTTTCTTTTCTGAAGACTTTTAAAGAACTTTTCTCAAAAGAGTTAATATTGCTTGCTCTTTGGGTGAGAGGCATGTGGTTAGATGTTTTAAATCTTTTATTTTATTTTATTATCATTATTATAATTATTATTTTTTGGTCTTTTTGAGACAGGGTCTCCCTGTAGCCCCAGCTGTCCTGGATTCACTCTGGAGACCAGGCTGGCCTTGAACTCACAGAGATCCACCTGCCTCTGCTTCCCGAGTGCTGGGATTAAAGGCATGCACCACCATGCCCTGTGAATCTTTTATTTTTTAATTCTTCTTGTCCTGTGAGTTTCTCCATTTGTATTCCTTTGTCTTTTGAGCTGTAAGGCTGAGAAGTTGTTGTTGAATAATGAGACTTCATAGCTGGCATGTTTGGAGCTCATGACTTCCTTTCTTTGAGCAGGACTCTACAGAGGTTCCATGAGCCACTCAGAATCCTGCAGCTGGCTTTCATGATTTTGCAGTCTGGTTTCACTCCCTGACTCAATCATGCTGCATTCCTCTCTATCTTCTGACACTTCATCATTTTATTTTATTTTATTTATTCCTAGCTACAGAAAAATGAAGACATAGAACAGTGAATGTAAATACGTTGTCATCTAGATTTACTCTTAATATTTGGCCATGTTTTCTTTATTTACATACTTAGAAGGTTTGAAACCCTATTAAAGATACTATAATAACTAAATTTTTTATCATGCAAATCCTGTAATTATGGATAATTTTCCTGTACAATCATGGTATTGATGCCATACATAACAAAATTAATTTTAAGAGTATGTTTTGGGGGACTGGAGAGATGGATCAGTGGGTAAGAGTGCTTGGAGCTCTTGTACAGGACCCCAGTTCAGTTCAACACATACATCAAATAGTTTATAGTACCTGTTACTCTAGTTCTAGGGGATCTGATACCTTCTGGCCTCTGAGGACGCTTGCAAACATTAGTGCATATAAACTCACATAGGCACGCACACATACACATAAAAAATCTTCTAAAAAAAGAGTGTTTGCTTAGTTCATTTGTGATGCTGTAATAAAACACCTCAGAATAGACAATTTATAAATAACAAATTTATTTATCATTGCTCTGGAGGTAGAAATCATCAATCGAGGAGTGTTGCCTGAGTTCTCTCAGGGTCTCTTGTACTATCAGGCAAACCATATAGCATATCTTTATGTGAATTTACTATTACCGTGGTGGGGGGGGAAGGGGAGAGACCAAAGAAATGAGCACCCAGTGCCCAGCTCTGTGCCACCCAGCTCTGCGCCACGGCTCAGAGCCTGCCATTCCAGATTGCTCCTGCAGCCCATCCATAGTCACCACTAGCTTTTGCCCAAGCCTCAGGGGCCAGCAGTCTCACTCCAGGTCCATAAATGCCAGGCCATTCTGTTCTCGAGCATGCCCAGCTGCTGCGCCCTGTTCGCACTTGTGGCTCCGGTTCAAGATGGCACTGCAAGCCCCTCCTTCCACAGCTAGCTCTCCAGAGTCAATTCTCTGTAGCAGGCCCCGCCCCTTGGAGGAAACAGCTTGGGACACAAGGTGTCAGCAGGTTTAGTGGCTGGTATTCCTTATAGAGGACTCTATCTGGATGTCCTCATGTAGTGGTAGGAAGGGAAACTGAGAGAATGTTATCCGAAGTATCCCTTTTATTTTCATGTCTTTTTGTTTTTGTGACCCACTGAGTTTAGTTAGGGTTGCTTGGATGAGCATGGGTTGGAGTTTATTTTCTGGAGTGTGGGCAACTAGCGGTGGGTACATCATGAAGAAAATAATACTTTCCCAGAAACCATTAACTGCCAGTAGCTCCTCTGGAGGGTGGGGTCTCATGAGCCCCTCTTCCACCTACGATGGATTATTGACTGGCCCATCTTGTATAGGTCTGGTATAGGTAACAATAGCTACGTGAGTTCATCAGTGCATTGACTGTGTTGTATCCAGAGTGTTTCACAACACTCCTCCCTGTCCTCCAGTTCTTTTTTTTTCAATATATGTTTTATTGCATTTTTCAAAAATTATTTATTTAATAGCCATATAATTAGAAGAGGCATTTCATTACAACAGCATTGACATATTCAATAAAATTTTTCAGAGTTAAGATGCGTCTCTTTCAAAATTGGCTGTAAATTTTTAGGTTTACAGTTGAATTAATACAGTTATACAATATTGTACTCTGTATAAACGCTATAAGACATAAAATTAAATGAGGTTTCAAACTTTAAAAAAGATCTCTATTTCATTACTAAAATATACAGTTTCATACAGAAAAATTCATTTTTAATACAATTGACACTAAGATGCACGTGCATTTCTAATCTCTATATATCTGATTATTACTAGTCACAGTCGGTTACTTTCTGAAATCCTTGGCATCTAAGCATGGGTATAAAGTCATCAGGTAGATTTCAATGGTAATGTTTTTCACATCTAATTATTAAGGAGCAAATTTTTATGATTTGAAGAATTTTATTTTTTAAATTTATGCACCCACTTCCCAGGTAGCACCCTTCCATTGCCTCCCTCCCCCCACTAGAGCCCTTATATGCTGATATCCCTGCTACTGCCTGCTGTGTTGTTGGCACCCCCAGATCTTCCCCACTATTTGCCCTTTTGGTGAATCTAGTCAGCCTATCTAGAGGTCTTTGTTTTAGGAGGGTGAGCTGTTCCTCATCTAGTGGTAATCAGTTGTCAATATTCCTTTGGATAAGATTGGGGTCTGCTGTTCAATTTCCCAGTTCTATGCTGGGTTACTATCTGGGAATCCCTTTGGCCGCCCTGGCCAACAACTCATAAGAAGGTATCGCCTGTCTGGCATTGTTGCTTGTTACGTAGCCTTTAGGTATACATATGGACTCTTATGAAATTATATTGGCTCCTTTAATCTTTGGTTATACTTTCCTTTTGGGTGTTTAAAGCCATAGAGTTGGACCAGATAAACTGATTTATTTTTACTCTTAAGGTCGTTTGAGGATCTGTTCCTCAGGGGTCACATGGGCTTGGGAGAAGGCCCTGGCTCCTTTCTTTTACAAATTCCACCTATATTAAGATAAGTCAAAGGTCCTGCTTGACCATGGTTGGCTTCGCTTGGAAGCATGGAGGACATGATTCCTCTGTCACTCTTCTTTATAGACTGGACACTGGTTCAAGTCCATTTCGTGGGGTCTACTAGGCCTCCTTGATCAAGAGGACAGGTGACCCACCACCATTATAGGACATTTTGAGAGATGCTCATAGTCCCCTGGAACTAGTCGACCTAGGAGGGCAAGGAGCAAAGAGTGTCCTTTATGTCCCTCTGACCAAATTATTATAGACCTCAAAGTATGTCTGTTAAACACCCAAGAAAGTTAGTTCCACCAGTCTGGTATTTTTAATTACTTTGTGTCATGTAGCTAAATCTTGGGCAAAGACCAGTTGTTCTCAGCTAAACCTTACCTAGACACATATTTCGTAATCTGCTATGTGTAATTTGTCATTAGGTTGTAGGAATAATATGGTTCTCTGGTTTTAAAAACTAGCTAGGCATTGTTTATCTCTCACATTGTCTCACCCCTCCATCATGATTTTCCCACTTCAGGTGCCCTGATTTCCCCCCTTTCTCCCTTATTAATACCCTTCTCCTATGGTCCTACCTCTCTTGAGCTCCTTCTTTCCCTTT